AAAAGACAACCTTTGCGATGAGATGCTTAGAAAGACAAAACTTGATAAAATCAGTAATTTATCCTACTTACTTGGAGCTGCTTTATAAAAAAACCAGCTGAGACTGATTTCAACTACTAGGGTTTAATTATGACTGAATATGCAAACTAACATCTACTAAAGGTATAAACAAGAATTATGACCCCAATAAATCCCAGCAAACATTAACAAAGTCCCATGTTAAACCTCTTTTCATTTTAAATGAATTAATAAATTCAAGACAGGGAGGACTATAGCTCAGAACTTTTAATTCTGGGTTTATTTTTATTCCACTTCCAGAGCAACAATTGCCCCACCAAGATATGAATTTCATCACCTGTGATAAATTAAAAAAAAAAAAAAGGAACAGTGGTTGCCAGGAATGTAAAGTAAGAAAGTTCAGCCTCGATGACGGCATTTATTTTATCTTGGGAGCATCTCGACTCCACTGGAACTGACTTAAATGTAAACTTCAACTGATCAATGTTATTTCTTCACAGTAACTTTTACTCTAATTGAAATTTCAAGTCTCATCTTTCCAATTACATTATTTGGAAACCTCTTTGAGGGTTAACTGTTTATTCTCAGGATTTATTTTTTTTTTCATTTAAAAAGGCAAGGCAGGGGGTGGCTTCATAGTGCAGTGGTTAGCACGTCTGCTTTACACGCAGAAGGTTCTGGGTTCGTGCCCCAGGTGCAGCCACGGACCATACCCCGGGTGCACCAGGCTCCCCTAGTGCATCGGGGTCATGCCTTGGGCTCTTTGAGGGTTAACTGTTTATTCTCAGGATTTATTTTTTTTTTCATTTAAAAAGGCAAGGCAGGGGGTGGCTTCATAGTGCAGTGGTTAGCACGTCTGCTTTACACGCAGAAGGTTCTGGGTTCGTGCCCCAGGTGCAGCCACGGACCATACCCCGGGTGCACCAGGCTCCCCTAGTGCATCGGGGTCATGCCTTGAGTGTGTGGGAGGAGACGCCCCACCTTCAGAGATCCAGTTCTTAAGGGGAAACAGTAACATCCATAGGTCAGAGGTGGAAGTGGGGGGATAGAAGTAAAGAGGGGAGATAAAAAAAACTAATTAAAAAGGCAAGGCATACAGCAGGCCTTTTGAAATTCATTGAGAATGGGACTGTCCTTTCCACTGGGGGCATACCTTGAGTGTGTGGGAGGAGACGACCCACCTTCAGAGATCCAGTTCTTAAGGGGAAACAGTAACATCCATAGGTCAGAGGTGGAAGTGGGGGGATAGAAGTAAAGAGGGGAGATAAAAAAAACTAATTAAAAAGGCAAGGCATACAGCAGGCCTTTTGAAATTCATTGAGAATGGGACTGTCCTTTCCACTATTGGTTCTGTCCCCTAAAATCATTTAATAGCATTCTGAGATGAGTATTTTTAACGCAGTTTTACAGGACACTGAGGCACAGAGTTTAAATAATTGCTCAAGATCACAGAACTTTTAAGTGCTGGAATTAACATCTGAATCTGGATTTCTCACTCCCATTTCCCACACCACACTCTCTCAGTCTCTCAGAAGACGCTATCTATCTACCTACCCATCTATCGATACCTCATTTGATTCTCCCAACAATTCTGTGAGTTAAACAAAAAAAGGGGAACCCATTTTACAGAGAAAACAGAGTCAAGTGGGTATCGATGAAGCTGTTTCTAGAACCCAAGTCTTCTGCCCTCCATTTATAGCACTTCTTGCACTATACCACCTGGTTATGAAGTTGCAGATCCTAAAATTAGACTCTAGAAACAATCTGGGGCCATGAAAATGAGTACTTTATATCAAGGTATTTTTTTCACATGATTCGGTCTCTAAAAAACTCTAACATATTAATGGGATAAAATTGTTAACCAAAAAATCTGGCGAGTGATCTTAATGAGACTTGGAGGAGCTGTATAGCTTAAAAAGTATAAAAACACTGATTATTAAAGCTTCAAACCAAGAAAGTAAAGTAACACTTATGCATTAAACATGCTGCTATGGACACAAATCAGAGCCCTGTCAGCATCAATTCAGCTCTCTGGGTATTCACCTAGTCCACACTTGAACCAGCAACCCAGCAGTCAAGTATTTCCTTTCAGAAGAATAACTCCAAAAATCACTAGAAACAAATTAATTTGACTTCTTATGACTGTTCATCAATCCTTCCAGTACATCAAGTCATATATTCAGCAAATGTCCTAACTTTGCCCCTCACATCTACCAACAATCCATGACAGGAATAGAGGGTCCTAAACCCAGTGTTTCCGCCCCTTAACCACGTGCCTCTACACAAACCGCACGCTCTCTCTGGGTCTTGCTCTTCCCTTCTATTCAGGAAATAATTTAAAGGGTACCAAGGACCCCAAGAAGGGCTAAAAGGCGTACACAGATGGTGCTCATAAAATGCTAACAGTTGTCCAAAATAGCCAAATGCTTTTATCTCTATGTACACCTAAGAAGTACTATAAAAGAACTGAAAAATTGATTTTTCAGAATCAAAAGACGAAACTTGAAGCACTAAAGTGGCTTTCTGCCCTGTTCTATTAACCCTTGCCGTTTTCCCCCTCCCTTATTTCTCTTTCCTCCTCAAAACAATTTGTCAAAAAAGATATAACCAACCACCCTACTAACTGGAAAGTTTTAAGATTTCAGCCTCAGAATTTCACTTGATAGTAAAATTTTGCTCACCAATTTCTAAATTCCTAAAACCTCGTAATAACCAATATGTTTTAGTCAATAAAATACTTAAAAATTTACTACCGATGCAAACTAAATGACATAAAAAATTCCTGTGTCCCTTCATTATCCAACCATTCTCATGTGCTAGGAAGGATTGACTGGACATGTTATTGACTAAAATGGAAAACGGTCCTGTTCTTAAAGGAATGTACCTCCTATCCTGGTTGCTATGTGCACGTTAATACCTGCAGGTGAAATACAGTAGGACTACATGAAGAGGAAGCTGTTTCTAGATTCCTCCAAATTATGAGCAGCCGGTACTCTGTTAAGGACCTAATTTCCTATGACCAAACACTCCTAATAGTAGATATTAGTCATAATTTCAACTTATCTGAATAGAGGAGCACAACTTTGGATAAAGACTCTGTTCTTCTTAAAAAATCATTTTAAATCTACTTTAATCCAGCCTGTCAGAACAATGAGAAAACTACATCAATACCATTAATAGTTTCTTACCCCATCCTTCGGATAAAACAAAATCTGAATAGAAATGCCACATGGCTTTGAAAAACAAAAAGAAGCGACCGTAGTTTTCACCAGTAGAAACCAGGTGGTTCAGGCTGCACCCCAAAAAGAACTTGAACTGAAAAGAAACACTTCATTAACTAGAACATTGAAGGGGCCTCCTGAGCCTATTCCAGAACATTGAAACTTACTCTGAGCTTGATGTGAAGACCTTACAATCCAATGTTAAAATGAGCAGTAAGAGACAGGAAGAAATAGCAAACAGGAGTTCTGGCTGAGAGTCATTTCAACGTAGTGATGTGAAATGAGTTTCTTTGTGCTTAGGTTTCTCATAGGTAAAAATAACCTTCAGCTACCAAACTAAGTGCCCTAAACACGTCCTGCAAATCTTTACAGCAGGGGAAAAACCATCCAGCACCAACGCCGCGAAGTTTTATAAAAGGATACCTAAAGAGCAGTGTGATGCTTTCCTAAATGAACGTACTGTTACTTATGCATACACCTAAAAGCTGTTCCTTTCAAAAGATGACACAGGGAGGTGCGCTTATTCTAAACATTTTTAGACACATTTCTGGGTTGCTTTAGAGTAAGCGGTTCATTCTTCTGAACACACAGCAGCGCAACATGGATATTCCTAACTTCAATTTATGCCTTGCTTTTTACTAGTAAAGATTTTAAGCAGCTTATATTAAAAACGTTTATGCATATAAGAAAAAATTGTATGGTTTCCCCAGGTGACCCTTCTGAAACATTTCTTTAAATATTTGTGCTAAAAAAAAAACACACACAAAAAAACACGTGACTCTGTAGGTACAATTCACATCTAGGGAAGAGGGGAGTCAAACTCCAAATCTTCAATTCATCGATTTCTTACTTCTCATCCCAGTGTTTCTAACAGCGCAAATAACTGCTTTTTTCTCTCTACTGCATTGTCTCTTCGTCGCTAGGCTAGGATGGTAGAAATCTCTGAAAGGCGATTTCAAGATATTATAAGCTTGACCCCTCATATCAAACAGAGACACAGCTGCCCTAACTCCATCCTTCAAACACATAAACAGTTTTTCAATGCTACATTCTACATATCCACAGAGCCTCTGCAAAATGGTCACACTGGTAATGTTGTATCTGTAAAAGTGCTTAGACTAGTTACTTTTTGGTCTTCTCGATATTTCACTAAATTACATGCACACACATTAAATGATCAGGCAATGCTGAGGACCTCACAGATTCTACAAGTTACTTTTTAGCATAAACTATTAAAGCTACAGTTACTTGAAGAGAAATCAGCCAACTCTTCATGCTCATTAAGACCATGTCTTCATCCAAGAGATGACAAAAAGTCAAACTTAGGCTGCTTAACCAAACAATAAGACCGTTCGTTTCTTATTATTTTAGCAATTTAAGTGTACTCATCTACTGCTGCCAACTTCACTTTTACTAGCTGATAAGGAACAATGAATGTTCCGGCACTACTGGCTCCCTACACTCACCCCACCTGAAACTTTTATTACCAAAAAAGGAACAAGTGATGATCCCCTGAGGTTTCCCTCCACTCAGGCTTCCACCTTTTCCAACTTTCTTTCTGGGATAACACAGAGCACCAAGAATAACCAATGAACTAGTGCTCAAGAAGCCCTTGGGATGACGGGATCTTCATGAAAAGGCTTTTCTTTTTTTCAGAATACCTATTTATTTTGCAGCAAATGGAGGCCCTTTGGAATTTTCGCTTTGAGAACTCATAATTACATTTCAAAACAAGAATGTTCCTGCGCCATCACATTTCGATTTGAAACAGGTCTGCATATTTTCTTGAAAGTTCACAGGAAAATGGAGTGGGAGGAGTAGCAAGGGGACATGAGACATAAGATATGGAAAATGAAAGCATGGACTGCCTCATTCTAGAATGTGGCTGGAGTAGTTTGTATCCTTTTCACCTGAGGGAGTAAAAAATTTAATGCCACTCATAAGACACTCACCTTGAGAATTTTTACAACCACTCTCTCATTGTTGGTGATGTTAATGGCCTCAAATACTTCACTATACTTTCCCCGACCAAGTTTTCGAACCAGTTGGTAATCATCTTGATTACTGTGAAAGGCAAGAGGGAAACATAAAAGTCAGGACTTGGGATTAACCAAGCCTGTGCCCAGTACACACCCCCACCCAGCTCCTTCCATTAATCAAGCACTTGGAAGTGTCTATACATCACGCCACAAGTCATTCCCTAAATGAAAGCCACAACATAAACTTGGCTCCCTTCACTCTGCAGAGCTCCTAACCTAATTGGTCTCTCATAACTTGGGGACATGAGGTAGGAAGGCACAGCTCTGAGCCAATGTAGATGGGTGAGCAAAGCATCCATCCTCGAGGATCAGAGGGCGCCCCTCAGCCCGGGGCGCCACAGCAACAGCCTCATATTTCACACGCCAGCTCTGAGAATCTGGACGTCTTTTAAAAATTTCCTCCCACCCAGCCTCATTTCAAAAAACTAAAAAGGCAGAGAATTTTAATAGCTCAAGAAGACAGCTGTTGACTCCCCACCCCAATAAAAACCCAAAAGTGTGAGGAGGGAGGGTTGCTCCCTCCCTTCCACCAGGCCCTGGTCCCTGGACCTTACACTTCCCCCCAGAAAGAAAGCATTCCTTGGGGGTACGGGAGAGAGAGGGGGCCGCACGGCGAGGAGGGAAGGGACGGAAGGGAGGAGAGGGCGACGAACACAGGGCTGCCTCCCACCCCGGATCCGGGGC